GTACCTGCTCCCACCTTTGCAGACCCTGGGAGTTACAGTGGCCAGAGCTACAGGGGGAACGGAGTCAGAAAGGGGAGCCCCTTCCAACACCGTTCCCACAAAGCTCACACATTCAAGTGCAGACCCAGACCCAGAAAGTTGCGCAGGCACCGCCAAAGATGCACACATAGTGAGAGCCACTGTTGACTCACTGAGGTAGGTACCCTCACCTCCGTTTTACACCTGGCCAAACTGAGCCGCAAAAAAGGTGGTGACTTCCTCAAGATAACAGAGCTAATAAGAGGCAGAGCCTGGTTCCAAGTACAAGCCCAGACAGGCTGACTTCAGAGGCTCTGTATTTAAGCATCAGTGTGTGCCTGTCCTCAGTAGCTCTATAGGAGATGAATTTCAGTGATGCACACTAAGTGCTCAGTAAATGTCATGTGTCAATACTGTTATGTCCTGATTTTACAGGTAAGACTAAGGTGGAGAGAAGCCAAATAGCTGACCCAAGTCAGAACTAAAGTACCCCTGACCTGAACCCCAGACCCATGAACACCTTAACAGACGCCCTGCCCTACCCCCATGTGCACAAACACAGCCACTTTTTAGGGGAGCCAAAGCTTGCAGCTCAGATGTGAGGGTGGTGTGTTCAGGTGTGTCCTGAGCAGAGAGGACTTGGCAGGGAGCCCATCAGCCCTCCACGCTGGGGTGTGAGGCTCTGGGCTCAGGTCTGCAATGCTCTGTGGTAGTAGCTGGGAGGTCCGCGTCCCACTCTGGTTCTGCCAGGCTGTGCTGTGTGTCCCTGGGTGATCCCTCAATCTCGTGTTCCACAAGCTCCACCTGGGAGGGCTACTGAGCCCTGTATCTGGAGGAGAATTTGAGGGGTCTTAGAAGAAAGGAGCGGGGTGCTTTCTGACCCTGAGGGAGGAATGGAGGCAGCCAGCTGTCCCAGGTTCTTGAGTAGGGTAGGGTAGGGCAGGGAGGGCAGGGGCCCAGCAGGAATCCATGACCCTCCCCCTTCCTGCCAAAGTGGAATCCCTCCCATCTGAAGAGGAGGCTTGGGGCTGGAAGCCGGAATGTAACATCCAGTGCTTTGCACTTGGAGGGGCTGGGATTTGAATCCTCTGCTGCTCATCCACCAGTCCTTGAGCCTCCATGGTCTCCTCTTGCCTTGGGATATCTGTGCTTTTGATTATTGAGCAACCCTTGGGGACTCTGTTTTGACATTTGTATCGCATGAACCAAACTTAATGTGAAATTAGAATGTGATCCCAGGTTTACCCCTTGATGGCTGAGTCATCCCCCCTCACTCATTTCCTCATCTGTAAAATCCTGGCACCTAGCTCTTAGGTCATTGGGCGGACCAGTGAGGCGATCAGGATGGGACTTGCTTAGACTGTGCAGGAGCCCCTAGAACCCTAATTTCTCCACAGAATCTCACTGCAGATGCTTGCATAAGAATAAGCCGCCCCCACCTGTGGCTTCTGGAAACCCACTGGGCCACACTTCCGGGATCTGAGGCAAGGGAGGCACTTCCTGAACCACTTTGCTCATCTGTGAGATGAAAACAGAACCTGTCTTCCAGGGGCAGGGGGGGAGTAGGGTGGGGTGATGAGAGTGAGGCACACGGCAGGTGTGCAGGCCACAGCGCCGCACTGGGGTTCCAAAGCAGAATACCTGCAGGTGAACCTGAGAGGGGGTTTCACAGGAAAGCCCAGACTTCTGGCTTCTCTGGAAAATCTGGTAAAATTGAGCCTCCTCCCCACTTGCTCCATAGTGATTCTGCTTGTGCCCAGGAAGGTTTTTCAGATCAGGAGGAGATGTGTTACTGGCCTCTGGCCCTGGGGGCACCCTGAGGGGCTGTGGATGTTTGCTGAGGGCCTCCCAGGGGAGTAAGCCAGAGCAGGGTGTTCCCAGCCCTGTAGCATCAGAGGTGTGAGTCAGACTCAGAGCCCCTTCCTTGGGCATCCACTACCCAGTGTGAGCCAGAGCCTACTGGGGCGGGGGAGCAGTCCCGCAGAGCCCATTTCCTGAGACAATGTGGTAAGGGCCCTGCCACGAGTTAAGGAAGCCAGAGCAGCTGACTGCAAAAGAGGGCTCAGGGAGGCTTCGCGGAGGCAGGAGGCAGTCTTGGACCTGAACCCCAAAGGCTGAGCAGGGTTTTGCCAGAGTTAAGGGGTGGTGAGGTCGTTCTAATTAGAGTCGGGACAGTCAGAGGTTCGGTGGCTTCCAAGTACATGACTTGATTGAGGCTGAAGAATTGCATTCGGAGGGTGTGGGAATGGTAAGGCATTCCCACTGTGGCCTTGGGCAAGTCACTTCATTCCTTGAGCCTCAGATGCTCACCCATAAACTGAGGCCTTCCAGTGAAGGCTGGATGATAGTGCACTGAAAAATGCTGAATCCCCTTAGGCCAGCCGGGGGTTATGCAGTGAGACATGAAGCGAAGAGACTGTGACAGGGCTGTGTGCAAATTAGATGGTATGAAGTGAAGGCTGGGGTATGTCTAGCCCTGAGTTCAGAGATGGGGAGGTTCAGTACAAGCTGGAGACCCCAGAGCTTCCTGTAAGAGGTTAGATGGGAACAGAGCCCCGAAGGACAGAGAAGAGGACTAGATTGGTAGAAAGGAATAGAGAAGGCATCTCAGGCAGGCAGTCCAGCTAAGTGCAGACGGGAAGGTGGCAGGCAGGGAAGGCCAGTAGGTGCACCATCGTGGTTGTGGGAGGACTGGAGAGAGGTGAGCCTGAAAGGCTGGGGGACGCTGGTGAAGCCCAGCCCCAGAGGCAGGCAGCAGGGAACCATTGCATGTCCTGTCCCTACACAGGCAAGCAGGGAGTGGTCTTAATGTAGCAGCTTCCAATGAGGGAAGGATTTTCTAATTCCTTTTACATAGTGGGAAAAATAAAAGGTCAGAAGGGACATAGAAGGGAGAGATGATGAAAAGGAGTTGGTTAGAGAACGGCATCACCTTGTACATCCCCATTCATTCTCATGCACACATAGTTTTAACCAATGGATAGAGTTGGGCGGGGACTGCATCATGAACTCGATCTCCTGTGCTTAGTTATCTGCAAAGTGCCCCTGGGTACCATCTTCAGTCATTGCATTGCTGGCTGCACATCTACCATGCAGTAACAGATTGTTGCTGGTCTAAACAAAACTTGATTAAGTATCTCTGTTCCCCAAACTTCCTTCTGGATTGTTTCCATTGGATACCTTTCCTGAAGGGGGATTTCTTACTTTAAGGGAACAGAAGTTTTTATGCCTTAGAAGATTTAAAACGTACTCTTTCACAGTAATTTTTTAAAATTTCTTTAATTTTTTAAAAAGATTTTATTTGAGAGAGAGAACAAGCGAGGGACGTGGGGCTCAATCCCAGGACCCTGGGATCATGATGTGAGCCAAAGGCAGACGTTTAACTGACTGAGCCACCCAGGCGCCCCCACAGTAGTTTTTTTTTTAGCATTTTCTGTAGGTTATATTGTATGGATTTTTTTCTCCTTTTTCTCTTTTATTATTTTTTTCACCGTGATAAGTGTACTCTTTAACCCCCATCCCCTATTTCACCCATTCCCCCACCCAGATTGTACAGGGTTTTGGGTTTGTTTGTTTGTTTTTTAAGATTTATTATTTGAGAGAGTGCAGAGGGGAGACCAAATGAGAGTCTTAAGCAGACTCCATACTGAGCACGGAGCCTGACGCAGGGCTCACTCTCACGACCCTGAGATCACGACCTGAGCTGAAACCAAGAATTGGAGGTTTAACCCACTGCGCCACCCAGGCACCCTGTATAGAGTTTTTTTTTTAAAGAACAAATGTACACAAGCATATACAATAAAAAGTCTATCCTCCTGATCCTATACTCTTCCAGTTCTCCCTGAGGACACTTGTTAGTTTTCTGTATATCCTTCCAGAAGTATTCTGTGCAGATACTGTATATACCCAATTTTCAGAAAAATGGATACATAGTTACACTCTGTTCAGCAAATTGCTTTCCATTTTTATTTTTAAATTTGGGGTTATGAAGAACACCAAAGAAGCATAGAAAATGACACCACCACACCCCCAGTAGCCCTAAACACAGGTTTAACAAATGTTAACGTTTTGCACTGGCATCTTGTTTAGGGAGGTAGCCCTATGTTAGTGCAGCCCCATGCGGAGGAGTCCACTTATTGATCATATGCACACATGATTCTTTTCAGCCTGTGCCCAGCTCTTGGATATTTAGAGTGTTACTGATTTTTTTTCTTAAACAATCAATGTGGAGGTAATACCCCACTTTGTATAATGCTGCCCCGGTATGAAGGCAAAGGGAACGAAGCTCGGCTGTAGTTTCGGTTCAAATACCTGTTCAGCCACCCTTCATAGCTGTGTGACCTGGGGTGAGTGAGTGACGCCCCTCTTGATCCTCTTGACCCATCTGTAAAATGCTGTAGTAATCCCTCCGCCTCATCGCTGCGGGGAGGAGTACAGTAGGAAACTGAAGATTTCTTTGGGCTTAGTTTCCCCAAAACCCTTAAGCAGGGAGCCCTCTATGGGGGAGACCAAGCTCAACTGGCCACGCGCCCAGAGCTACCAGAGCGCCAGACAACTGCAGCTCATGCTTCAAACTGTTCCCCGCCCCTTTCCCGGGCCACGCCGGGGGCGGGGCGGTTAAATGTCTGTGGCGTCAGCGCACGCAGGACCAATCCCCCTGCCCCGTAGGCGTTAGCTCGTTTGCATGGGTTACCCGCTATTGGTCCGTTGGGCAACCCAGGCCATCCCAGCTTTTTAAAGCTACCGCGTAGTATAAACAAGGAGATGCAGGGCGGCCAGGCCATGATGTCATCGCGGCGCGGTAGCTCTTGGGGCTGACGTCATCTCCGGGGAGGTTGCCGACCCAAGGCTGTTAGAGCCTTCCTAACCCAGTTGGGCTGGCTTAAGAAGGCCGCTCCTGCCCCGTCGAAGGTCAGTCCCATTGCACTTCAGTGCCCCAGGCGGCGCCCCGTCCCCGAAGAGAAGACCATGACACAGTAAGTCCGGGCTGCGGCTCTCCTAGGGGGACCCATTTCTCTGGCAGGGAAACTGAGCCTCAGAGGCGCGAGTGGTTCGCGAGTTTGCATAGCAAGTTCGAGGTGCAGCCCGTTGGCCTTGCCCACCCCGGGGTCTCCCATCTTTAGCTCCGGCCATGTGGCCCCGCCCCTTGCTTGTGATGACGGCGGTCACTTTAAGTGCAAAGGTGGGGGCAAGAAGGAGGTTTTAAAGAAAATCTGCCTTCCAAGATGGCGTCCCATTAATCACGTGCCGAGTCGCGGTGAGTGATTGGCTCTCATAGTCCCCGCGGGGCGGAGCTCTTGGCGGGGCTGCCGCGGGCAGCAGCCGGCTACTGTTTGCCGGAATCTCCCGGCGCGCCCCCGCGAGGCCCCCTCCCGCCCGGCGCGCGACCCCGCCGCTTCGAATGTTGTGAATCAAATGTGGGGTTTGTTACATTCCGCTGCCGCCGCGGACAGTTCTTAAAGGGCCAGCCGCCTGCAGCTGCGCAAACCCGGCCGCGTCCTGAGCCGCCTCCCGCTCCCGGAGGGCCTGGGCTGAGAGAGGCAGACCGCGCGTGGGCCTCGCGAGGCGGACGCCGGCGGACCGACAACAAAGAGAGAGCCCCGGAAGGAGCTGGACTGCCCCCGGACCGGGGGGTGGGGAGCGGAGCACATTGTTCCGCAGGGCGGGGGCTCTTAAAGGGTCCAGGCAGCCCCCCTCCCTTCTGTCCAGCTTGGCTGTCCTAGATCGGGAACAAAGGAGCCAACGTGTGGCCTGGCGGCCGAAGGTGAGTAGGGGCTAGAGCCCCAACTCCCTATTTCCGCATCCCTAGAACTCCTGTCCCCCTCCCTTGGGACTGGGGTCTGTGCTCTAGCTGGCTCCTCAGGGGTTAATCGCGGGCGGTCCAGAGGGGGGACGGAGAGACCTCTAGAAGCGAGGAGGGTTCCCCCCAACCCCCCAAGGCCAGGTTGAGTCTCCCTTCTCCGGGGGCTGAGTGCCGCGGTTGGAGAGGAAGGAGCCGCCCCCTCCCCCTGCCGCCGCCACTTCCTTTGTTGTTGCTTTTGTCTCACGCCGAGCACATGGTCCGGGATCCTCGGCTCTTAAAGTCACAGCGCTCTGGCCCCAACGCCGCAGTCTGGCCTCCCCACTCCCATGCCCTTCCGAGCGCGGCATTAATGAGTGAGGGGGGGACGTGGGGGTCTCCTCTCCGGGCGAGTGTCTGCACCTTGGCCCCCCATCCCCGGGGAGGGGTGGCAGAGGAAGCTCCCCAGAGCCCCGCAACCTCTGCCTGGCCCGCGTTGAGGAGGAGCCGGTCCCTCAGGAACACTGGTTTTCTCCCCCGCTAATGTGACCACCTGGTTTCTTGCGTCTTGTTTCTTCTGGCTTTATTTGGGCGTTCTAGGAAGGAGAGATTTCCACCCCCATTTCACAGCTGTGACAACTGAGGCACACAGAAGCGGAGAGATTTCCTTGACCAAGGTCACCTAGGGAACCTGGGCTAGCCGAGGACTTCTAGCTCCGAGGCTGACAGTCCTGCCCTCAACTACCTCCAGGCAGCACACGTTTGGGGAGCTCTGTTTGCCTACCAGCAGTAGTGGCCTAGCCTGCCCCATACGGGGGAGGGGGCTTCTCATCATGCCTGAATCTACTCAAGCTCTCAGGCAAATATTCCCCAGGGGCAAATGACTTGGCAGGGGTTCCCTAGACTTGGACTAGGATAGTTCTATGGGGTGCTGGAAGTAGGGAGTTGGCTGCCTTCTGGGGTGGATGCAAAGTGTGGTGCCTGCTTCCAGGCAAGATTGGATTTAGGGATGGGACCCTGCAGACCCATTTACCCAGACCTCATTGAAAGCACAGCACAGAGGACTCTGGAAAGGCAGAGAAATTGGGGGTGGTCACCTGGCCACCCTTGCAGTTTGACCTTGAGCAAGTTGATGCCTCCAACTCTGGGCTTCACTTGTTTCTTCACCACAGTAGGGTTAGTAGTGAGTGCCTAAAACAGAAAACTCTCGATCTCCTTTAGGGACTGAAATTAGTTGGGATTAGGTGGTTATTGGGGGCTACTGATGCTAATTAAAGAGTCAGGGGTTGGGGGAATCTGGGCCTAGGTGGCCAGCCAGGGAGAACTAGTTCAGTCTTTCTCTGGCTTTGTGGGCTAGAGCAAGTTACTTCCTTTCTCTGGGTCTCAATTTCCTCAACTGTGAAGTGGGTGTGTCCCCTCTGCACAACCTCTGTTCTTAGTAGGACTTCCAAGAACCAGGGGTCCCTCCCTTACCAGCTGGGGTTTTCCCCTAGGGAGGCATATTTCCCAGCTCTCTCTTGCAGAGCTTGAAGTGGCACCTGATTTCTGTTTGTGGAAGTCAGCCTCTCTTAATTTCTAATAGTGATCACTCACAGCTCCACTTGGCCAATCACCTCTGCCTTTGAGCAGCCCTTGCCAGTCCACTGGCAGGTGGTTATCTAGCTGTTCCATCTTAGAGGTGAAGAAGCTGAGGCTGAGCGGGGATAGTGATGCGCCCAATCCTCAGCCAAGACTCTGGCCAGAGTCGGGGTATCGTGTGTAAACTTTGGCACCATCATCTATAGCTGGAGGCCCTTTGGTCTGCTGGTTTAGTTTCTCAGCTCCTTGCCACTTCTTTTTCCTGAGGAATGGGTGTTTTTGAAGGAGCTGGCCAGAGCAGATTCCCATGTGCCTGGGCCTCTGTGGCATCCACGCCCCCCAGACTTTAGCACAAGAGGAGCCACTGAAGCCACTGGGTTGTGTCTCAGTGCACTCACAACTCTGGCTGACAGGCTCTGGACCTCAGTGTCCTTACTTCTGAGGGCTGCTGTGAGGACTCAAGATGGCATGTGAGAAGTGTCATAGTTACTACTGTTAATGTTATTCATCAGCAGGACTGTGGGCTCCCAGGATCTCTGGGGTCAGTTAGAGCAGAGATGCCCAAACCTGGCTGTGCCATAGAAACTTTGGTAAAATGTCTAGATAACCTTGTTCCCCAACCCTCCAAAGATTCTGATCCAGAAGGTCTGGAGTGGCCTAGGAGTCTCTTGTTCCAGATATTTAGGGGTGTACTCTGAGTCTCTGTTGGCCTTTGTTTGCCAGGCTGAATTGTCAGCAAGAATCAGGAAGGCTGTGGGTGTACATACGTGTGTAAGGACGTGCACTCGGCTCACACCGGGGCTTACAAACCTAGTCACCTACGGTGGGCAGGTAGAGCATGGGCATTGGGTGGCCTGGAGAGAAAGCTCGTGCTCTAGTGAGGGGGACCGAGCAGAAATGAGGGCCTATTGGGACGAGATTTTCTGCTTTTGTTTCCTCTCAGGAAAGACCAGATTTTTATGTAATCTCCCAGTTTTCAATCATGGGCACCAATTTCACTCCTGCCAGACTGTGTGATTGGCTCTCAAGTGTACATTTACCACATCAGTGCTGGCCACAAGCTGGTCACTGGGCTCTGCCCGCCCTTCTGCCAAGTGCCAGAGCCCAGGTTAGGCGGGCGAAATGTGAACTCCAGCTCTTGAAGTTCTGGCTGTGGCCATGGCGAGCTTCCCCTGCAGACTGACTTTGAGAGTCAGGGCCCAGGCTTGTAAAGCCGAGCACAGAGGAGGTGTTCTTGCCACTGCTAGCAGGAAGGAACAAGGTGTTGAGGGTATGGTACACTGGCTCCCTAGCTGTGTCAGCAGGGAGGTAACACTGAAAGCTGGCTGTCAGAGATGCATAGGAGTTTTGTCAGATGGAGAAGGGGCGGACGGAGGAGGCCTCCCTGTGGCAGGAACAGCAAAGGGCTGGTCCTGTTTGGTGCACCCTTCAGCTCTGCAAGGCCTGGCGGGTTACAGAGTTTTCTCTGCCAGGGCTTCATCCCAACCTCTGGAGTTAATAAATGGTCCCCACAGCTTATCCCACCTGGACCCCCAGCTCCTACCGGAGGGAGGAGACCTGCCCCACCCCATTACCAGTCAGCTTCCTCCTTTAGGTTCTTGCTTCCCCTTTTTTCTCAGCAAGCCCCACTGCCACTTGGGGGCTGTGTTAAGCCCCCAGAGCAAGGGCCTGGCTGTATGCCAGACTTACTCACCCACCAGTGGCCGCTTCCTTCATTATCTCCTGCAAAGCGCTTGGGCAGGACCCCTTCTTGCTGGCAGCAGGGTGCAGTGAGAGGCTTGTGGCCAGCTTACCTCCCAGCTTTGACACTTGGGCAAGTCCCTTTCAATTTCTTTGAGCCTCAGTTTTCTATTCTGTGAAGTGGACCTTGAAGAGTAGATGAAGTCACATGTGGGTAGGCACTGTGGGAGCTGGTTATGGAAAGAAAGAAAACAAACTGACTTGAATTGGGAACCCCTGAGGGCAGGAACTGGGTCAGAACCTCTTACCTGGCAGTAGTGGAAAGAGAAGGCCTGATTGGAATACCCCCAGAGCCGACCCAATGGAAGGGAGGAAGCTGAAGTGCCCTCCCAGGAACCCCCAGCTTCCTGAAGGTTGAAGTTGTAGACCGCCACAACAGAACAGGGTGCCCTGGAGTCCCCATCCTGAGGGAGCCTTACTGGAGCCATGTGGCCTGGAAGCATGCTGGCCAGCCCTCCTAACTCACCACAACCCTGAAGGGGAATTTGATCCCATTTCATAGAGCAGGAAACTGAGACCTGGGCTCCCTGTTCCTGATCTGTCATCCCTGATCCCCAGTGCCCAAAAAGAAGGCCAGACTCAGAGTGTACACTGCACATGGAGTACAGGGACGTAGTGGACTGCTGAAGTTTAATTCTGTCTCCGCAATCCCTAATGGGGCAAGTGCCTCGACTTCTGTGTACCTCAGTTTCTTTATCTCTTTGCCTCATAGGGTTGTGAACCCTGGCCCAGCCCCTCCACCCCTCTGCCACCCCTGATGCGACCATGGGCTCTGGCAGTGACTAGGTGGCCACCCTCTGCCCCTGTGGGTCAGCGGCGATTCTCTGTAGGACCCGGCACTACCCCGGGCCAGCTCCGGGGAAGGTAGGAAGGAGTCTCCTAGTCCTACAGAGCCTAGAGTCCCTGGTACTAGGGCTGTCAGCTTGGGTTGGGGCATACGGACCAGGGGTGGCAGGGCATAGGGCCCTGAGCGGTCTTCCTTCCCTAGTGGGTAGTGACCTGGCTTCTCTCCATGCTCTCTGAATGAGTGGCTCCCCTCAGTCCTACTGGGGCCTCCTCTCTGTGGTGCAGCCCCGGCCACGAGGGCCCCCTGGCCAGCCTGCCTGCCCAGGATGAGCGCTTACCCTCCCAGCAGCCACCACCCCGACCACCATACCTCCCTGTAGAGGAGCACCGAGCCTCGGCTCCTGCCGGCAGGAGCCCCCGAATGCTGCACCCAGCCTCCCAACAGAGCCCGTTCATGGTTGATCTCCACGAGCAGGTAGGCACAATACTCATCACCTGTTTCCCCACCCTGCTGGCCCCTTCCCACCAGCCTCTGGCAAGCCTGTCTGAGGACCAGAGGTAGCAGAACCCTGATTTCCCCTTAACTCTTTGCATGTTCAGTGAGGCATTATTAGCCCTGTTTTACAGGTTGGTAAGTTGAGGCCCAGAGAAGGGAAGGGCCTTCCTTGGGACTACACTGGATGAGTGATAGAGTTGGAAGCCCCTCCCAGGTTCCCAGAGGGTTCTCTCTGCCCTCTAGGGCTTGGGACAGGGGTATAGGCAGGTGTGTACCTAGGTAGGCCCCAGCTAGAGAAGGGAAGGGAGGTGGCCCAGCAGGGCTTTCTCATTTGGGGGCAGCAGCATGGCTGTTTCCTCCCTACACTTTCCGGGTTTCTCTCTACCCACAGGTGCACCAGGGACCCGTCCCTCTGTCCTACACAGTCACCACAGTGACAACCCAAGGCTTCCCCTTGCCTACAAGCCAACACATCCCTGGCTGCAGTGCCCAGCAGCTCCCAGCATGCTCCGTGATGTTCAGCGGGCAGCACTACCCCCTTTGCTGCCTCCCACCCCCGGTGAGTGAGTGCCTCCACCTCCTGCCCCATCCCCACTTGAAAGCCCCAGACATAAGCCAGCAGCGGAAGCAAGCCGAGCTTATGACACCCATCCAGGCTATCAGAGCACCTACCCAGCTCCAGGCCTCAACCCTGCCCAGAAAAGGCATGTGCACATTCACAAATAGTGAGAGGGCACCTCAGGGTTCAGGGACCTTCCTGCACCCCAGTGCCTGCCTTATGGTTTGGAATTGTAACTGTGGGCCTTAAAGAGTGTAGTGTCCTGCCTGGGTGGCCTGTGGCAGGGGTAGGAGGGGCCAGAGGGCTTCAGTGGGGACCTCTCGATGGATGGAATGGCCCCTTGCCCTTGGCACAGGCATAGGCCCAACCCAGAGCCTAGAAGAACATTCTACAGCCCCCCAACCCCTCCCTTTCTTGGCAGCTGATCCAGGCGTGTACCATGCAGCAGCTCCCTGTGCCCTATCAGGCCTACCCCCACCTCATCTCCAGTGATCACTACATCCTGCACCCCCCACCGCCAGCCCCACACCCCCAGCCCGCCCACATGGCACCTCTTGGGCAGTTTGTATCGCTGCAGGCCCAGCACCCGCGTATGGTGAGTCTGGGCAATGGGTTTGATGCTATAGGGGATGGCATGGGGGGGGCAGGGCTTCCCTCCTTACTGACTCTGGCTGGCCCACCCCCACTTCTTCCAGCCCCTACAGCGGCTTGACAATGATGTGGACCTGCGGGGGGACCAGCACCCCCTGGGGAGCTTCACCTACTCCACCTCTGCCCCAGGCCCAGCCCTGTCCCCATCTGTGCCCCTGCACTACCTGCCCCATGATCCACTGCACCAGGAGCTGTCTTTCGGTGTGGTAAGTACCGCCTCCAGCTAGACTCTAGGGTGATCAGGAAACAGGCCCGCTGGGCTGACCTGCACCTGGCACCCCTCTCGTAGCCATATTCCCACATGATGCCACGGAGACTGAGCACTCAGAGATATCGCCTGCAACAGCCGCTGCCCCCGCCACCCCCACCGCCACCCCCGCCACCGTATTACCCCAGCTTCCTGCCCTACTTCCTGTAAGTACCAGCACATCTGCCTCAGAGCCGTGGTGCTCTGGTCTCCTGGGACATCCAGTTGTTGGACCCAAACAAAGCCCCATGGGGTGTTTGGGGCCTCTAAAGCCATCTGGCATCCCCACCAAACCACACACATTCTCAACATTCACCAGCTGGGTTCTTGGCCCTCTTACAATGTCCTGGAACAAACACTGGAGTCCCTGGTGTGAACGGTGCAGAGCTCTGGGCTTTGTTTCACAGAGGGAGTCGGGAGCAGCTCTGCACCCCCTACACCTACTGACCTTGACCCTGGGCCCCCCACACCTGTCTCCCCTCCATAGCTCGATGCTGCCAATGTCACCAACAGCAATGGGGCCCACCATCAGCCTGGATCTCGATGTGGATGACGTGGAGATGGAGAACTATGAGGTCCCGTGGAACACTGTCCTGGGAGGTGGGAGCTTGGGGGACCTCCGGTCCTGAGCATTAATGACCCTCCCCTCCTGCCTGGATACAGGCCCTCCTGAACCTGGCAGAGCGGCTAGGAGATGCCAAGCCCCGGGGCCTCACCAAAGCGGACATCGAGCAGCTCCCATCATACCGCTTTAACCCCGACAGCCATCAGTCAGAGCAGACGCTGTGAGTACTGTGCCCCCATCTCCTGCCTCCCTGTGAGCACAAGGGGGCTGCAAGGGGACCCCTTCCTCCAGGGGGTTTCGTGCTATGCAATGAGCCTCCCCCTGCCATCACTGTGGAGATGACACTCTCTGCCTTCTCCCAGGTGTGTTGTCTGCTTCAGTGACTTTGAGGCACGGCAGCTGCTCCGAGTCCTCCCCTGCAACCACGAGTTCCACACCAAGTGTGTCGACAAGTGGTTAAAGGTAATGCAACCCAGGCCAGATTCCAGGTGTTCCATCATGTGCTGAGGGTTGGGGGGGGGGGTGGACCTTGAAGGGTTTCCCTTCTTGTCATCATCTAGAAGTCTAGGCTCTGTTCGGGGGTCAAGTCCCAGAAGCAGAACAGACCCAGCTGGGGTGGGGGACAGGCAAGAGTGGAGCCTGATGTGTGGCTGCTCCCCTAGGCCAACCGGACGTGTCCCATTTGCCGGGCCGACGCCTCCGAGGTGCCCAGGGAGGCTGAGTGAGACCCACAGCCGCCCAGGATAAACCCTGCCTGAAGCTCTGGAAGCTCGGGTTGGGGGAACCTGTGGAGGACGGGGAGGGAGTGGCCCAGGCCTGCCCCGTCATTCCCGCCTGCATCTCCAGAGCTGGTGCCAGGGTCAGCCCCGAGAGAAGCCCCTGCAATAAGCCCCTGCATTTGCCAAGCTCCAAAGACTCCTGCCCCGATGTTCCTGCCAGTCTGCCCACCACGGAGCTGCCTGAGTGTCCCTAACTCAGTCTCCCTCCTGTTTGCCCTCGAGTCTGTCTCCTTTTCCTGCCAGCCCTGGGAGCCAGGGGTCTATCCCCCCGAGCTCAGCTGGGGGAGATCCTCAGCCCCAGGATGGGCAAAGATGGCTCTGTCCTGGGTTGCCTGGTCTCTTGCACTGAAATGGTATGCCGTCTGACTGGGTGGCACTGACAGGCGTGCGGACAGAGGATGGCATGAGGCCATTTCCTGAGCCCCAGGCCTGGGTCCTCCTGCTTTGACCCCAGACAGACTCAGGCAGCCAGCCCTACCCAGGCTGCTGAGAGGGTTGGCTCCCTCAAGGACCCTCACCCCAGTCACAACATTCCAGCCCACCCCCAGGCTGGAAAGTTATCAGGGCCAGCCTCCTGAGCAGATGGGAGACAGGCCCTGAGCTGGGGCGGCCTGTATCCTGAGGGGGCCTGGGCCATGCAGGGGAGAGAGACCTCCTGTGTTCCTGGTGGCTACCCCTTCCTGGCAGTGATGGCGGCCAGACACGCCCAATGTCCCCTCTCTGTTGTTTTGCATGAACGTGAGGAGCAGCAGTTTTTGTTATTCATTTGGCCCAAAACCACGTGTAGGATTTGGGGGTGTGGATTTTTAAATAATTTGTTTCCTTTTGTTTTAATGGGGGATATAGGGACCAACCAGGACCAAGTGCCCAGGGGGCAGGGAATGGTCTGGTGGTGCCGCCTGGTCTGCATGCATGTGTGCGGCTGGGGCTGGGCTGGGCGGCTGGCAGTCATGGGTGGGGTTGGGGGGTGGTCTGTGCTCAGCTGATAACTGCCATGCACTGTACTGCACACGTCCCCAGAGCCTACCGGGACCGTACGCTTTTCAGGGCATTTCTCCCTCCAGCCAGGGCCCATCTCCCACCTGACTGGGTGAGTCTCCTCCAAGGACGTCACAGGAGGACAGGGACCAGGGAGGGCGTGGACCCCACCTCCAGGGGCCCCCTCCCAGCCTGAGCCCTGCCCTCCAAGGTCTGGAGGAGGCCCCCTATAGGGTCTGGCTGAGCCCCCACCTTCTCTTTCCCTAGTCCCATTCCTTTCCTGTCCTACCCCCAGCTGGGGTTGCTGCCCTGAACGAACCGCGTGTGGGGCCGGCACATCCTAGCAGGCAGCCCCTGGCGCCTGCTGCCTCAGGGATGCTCCAACCACCCTCGTTCTCCCTGCAGCGGCCCTGGCTCCCTGCCTCCCCTCAGCCTGCCATGGGGCCCCATCAGCCTGGCCCCACCCCCATGGAGAACCCAAAGTCTTACTGTATATAACTCCAGGTGATGTTTCTATATTTATAGCAGTGTTGAAACCCCACGTGTTTTACACAGAGAACCACCCTCTCCAAACCCCCCCTCCCCTTCCCACCCCGACAAAAGGTTTTCAGAATCCTTTAAGGTTCCTGGGGCAGGCGGAAACAGGCTCACGGACTGTGTGTCGGCTGCAGCAATGATTCCAACGAGCAGCTATTGGGGGGGAAAACACAACACTTTAAAAAAATCATTAAAAAAAAGATTTATAAAACAATTATTTAGGATGTTTGTGATTTGCCGACCTTGCTATAGATGCCATGTTACCAATGATTTCCTGTGGTGGGGGCTTGTCATTGTTTACTCTTTTATTTACCAACTTCTGGCCTAGGCATGACAGTGGGCACCATCCCCCAGCCCTGGCTGGGCCCAGCACCTGTATTCTGTGTTAGAAAGGTTATATATATATATATATATATATATATATATATATATATATACACACACACACACACACACACACACACATACACACACACATATATATATTTAATTACATATATATATATAAAATATATGTAATTTGGGGGGCCCTGTTCCTTGCACATTTTACAGTTACCTCATTTTTCCCATGTATGTATTTGAGAAAATGCTAATATATAGAGAAAAAAATGGTTCTTAAAGCTTAAATGTGTGGTTTTTTCCATTCCATTGGATTCACATTGGTTTGTAGCATTTAACATAACTAGTATGTTGTATTATATATATGTGTATACTGATTGAAATTTTTAACAGATTTGTACTTTTTTTAAAATGAAAGTTGCTAGTTCTGCTTGACCAAGTAGTGCAATCATTATTTTTTTTAATATTGTTGCTGATTTCAGAGGGATATTCACTAATAAATGTATGATGTATATCAAGTACTGCCCAAGCTGCCTTTGGCTACCTGTGTTCTTTTGGTGGGAAGTGGGGGTAATGTCAGTCTGAGAGTGGGTAGGGCATAGGGATGAGGTGGGCAGTAAAGATTGTTCTCTCCTGTGGCACCTTGGGGGTACCTCCTGATCAAGAGGGTCTGCCAAGCCAGGTTAGTGATGACATTCTGGGCCATCTGCTTCACACTCAAATTAGGCAGGATTCTGTTGGCAAGTGGCAGAATTCCATCACACTGGTTTTAGGAAAGCGTTACTTGTTGGTCTGTCATTTCAGTTCCGGAGGTAGATTCTGCCTCAGGCATGACTGGATTGGGCTTGGGCATGTTATAAACCAAGGTCTCCTTCATTTTACAATTTTGTTGTGAAGGAGCTGCTTCTGTGGTGGTTCTGGGTAGCTCTAGTTCAGTTTCTTCTAGTTTGGCATCATTCCATGGGAAAACCTTTTTTTTTTTCCTTGGAATTCTAATGGGATTCTGGGATGGAGTCTTGTTAGACCCAATTTGGATTGTGGGTACATCCCTGAGCCATTCACTACCATACCAGGTAGCTACACCAGCATGATTGGCCTGACTTGCATTACATACCCTCCCGCCCACAGGCTCTACTAAGACTACATGAACTTGAGTCCCTTATCCCCAGGCTCAGTGGGGACTAGGGGCCTGAGAACCACCCAAGGGACCAGGTTGGTGATGCGGTTACATTCCTCTTACCCATGATGGTATATGGTGCTGCAAGGATATCCGCTGACTTGTTAGCATGTCAAAGTAACATGATCTGGAGCAGGAGCAGTGGGCTGGGGTCAGGAGACCCAGGACCTGGTGTCTGTGTGATGCCACTATCTGTAGCCTTGGTCAGGTCACTTCTCTTTCAGCCTCTGGATCAACTACAAAATAAGAGACAGTTGAGTGGTTCTCTTGTGTTTCAGAGATAGTGCTATAGGACCATAAGGGGGATTAAGAAGGGTTATGTGGTTAAACAAGTTTGGGAAATAACACTCTAAAGGTAATAGGAGCCTATGTTGCAGAGCTTCTCTGAGCCTTGGTTATGCTGATGTGTATTATAAGCCTCTAGGAATGGATACTGTGAGCAACACTTCCTATATTGGGCTTGTTTGGCTACATGTAGTGCTCAAATTGCATTCTCTGGGGCACACTGGGCAGTGCTGGACTAGACCAGTGATAGCAACGGAGTTCCCAGGGCCCTAGTCTGAAGTCTAGGGAAGTCTCTAAGCTTTTTTCAGTATTTAAAAAGACCTATGGGAAAGAAGACACGACTTTATCAATTGATGAAAAAAAAACTTGCCAAAATTGAACATTTATTCATGACAAAAACTCAGCAAGCTAGAAATAAGAGGGTAACTTCCTCAACTTGGTAAATAACATCTACAAAAAACCTTACAGCTAACATGTAATGGTGTGAAAGACTAGGTGCTTCACGCTTGAGATCAGGACGAGGCAAGGATATCCACTCTCACTACTCAATATCATACTGGAACTCCTACCCAGCACAATAGGATAAAGCAAGAAAAAGGAAATAAAATTAAACACACAGACTGAAAAGAAAATTGTCCCTATTTGTAAATTTGATAACTTATAAGTTACCAAAATCTGATGGAGATTTTGGAAATCCCAAGGAATCTACAAAAAAAAAAAAACCTTAGAACTAAATGAGTTCATCAGGTCACAGGTTACAAGATGAATATAAAAATTAATTGTATTCTATATAGTAGCAATGAACACATGAAAATCAAAATTTAAAACTATATAATCACTCTAAAGATGAAACATAAATCTAACAAAACATTACAAGATTTGTGTGTTGAAAATCAAACACTGGATGAAAGAAATCAAAGACCTACATAAATGGAGAAACATGGTCATATTCTCAGATTAGAAGACTCAGCAATAGGTAAAGATGTGATTTCTTCCCATATTGAACTACAGGTTTAATGCAATTCCTATCAAAATTCTGGCAGTTTTTTTTTTTTTGAGATGACATTCTTCAAAATTTATATGAAAAGGCAAAGAAGTAGCTAACTTTGAAAAACAAGAATAAAGTGAGAAGACTCACCATACCTGATTTTTTTCATGCTTTATGATTCTATATTTTAAATGAAATGCTCCAATAGACCAAAAAAAAATTCTGTAATGACAGAAAGTAGCTTAGTGGTGCCCCAAGCCAGGAGGGGTGGAAATTGACTGCAAAGGGGTGTGGGGGAGCATTTTGGGTTATGGAAATGTTCTGTATCTTGACTGTGGTGGTAGGGGTTGCACATTTTTTTCTTTAAATTTTTTTATTGTTATGTTAATCACCATACATTAGATCATTAGTTTTTGATGTGATGTTCCATGATTCATTGTTTGTGCATAACACTCAGTGCTCCACAACCATACCTCATTTTAAGAGTTGCTGTAGATCTGCATTAAGACAACATGGCAGAGAGACAGACAAGTAGATCAATGGAACAGAAGAAAGATCCGAGAAACAGACCTGCGCAAGTATGGCCAGCTAATTTTTGAGCATTCAATGAAGGATAGACCTTTCAATAAATAATGGAGGAGTTGGGCATCCATAAAAAAATTAAAAAGAACCTTAAGTCACAATACAAAAATGAACTCAAAATAGATCATAGATTTAAAGGTAAAACATAAAACTGGAAAACTTTGAGAAGAAAACAAGTGATAATCTTCACTCTGACCTAGAGCTAGGTGAAGAGATCTTAGACATGACACTGAAAGCAATCCATAAAAGAGAAAAAAGTGATAAATTGGACTTCACCAGAAACTGCTTAATTTGCAAGTCACATGTGAGAAATTATATCAGATAAATAAAGAACTCTCAAAACTCAACAAAAGACAGTCCAATTAAAATATGGGCAAAAGACATGAACACATTAAGAGGGTATTTCATTTGTTCACCACCATAAGCGCTATTAGAGAAATGCGAATTCAACCACAATAAGATTATTACACACCTGTAAAAACAATGAAGATAATAAATAGTGACAATACCAAATTCTGGTGAGGATGCAGAGGAATTGGATTTCTCAAACATTGCTGACAGGAATGTTAAATAGTACAGCCATTCTGGAATATAGTCTGGCAAGTGTCTTTTTAACATTTATTTTGATACAATCTATCATAAATAAGTCAGTAGAGGTTCCACTCTGCCACTGAAGCATCTGTGAAGAGCCCTGGACCATTCAACTAATGAGTGTCTAAAGGACGTCCCATCTTTTATCCCAGCCACCACACACCTCCCATGTTGTTCCTGTCCATTAATTGCTTCCAAATCCAGATGATCAAATAATTCTTCATCCCCTAAGTAAACTAAAAAGGTTGGTTCAGACATTCCAGGATCTGCACCCCTCTTAAATCCCAGGTGAATCATGAGAGGAACAAGGCTCTAGTGGGTGGCAAATTGGCCACCCTTGAAGAACTGCTGCAGCCTCTGCTTGGCCTCTTTGCTCAGCTTCACCATGGCGACAGCCTGGCAGTTTCCTCTAAAACTAAACAGATACTGGGTGCCTGGGTGGCTCAGTTGGTTAGGCGACTGCCTTCGGCTCAGGTCATGATCCTGGAGTCCCAGGATCGAGTCCCACATCGGGCTCCCTGCTCATCAGGGAGTCTGCTTCTCCCTCTGACCCTCTTCCCTCTAGTGCTCTCTCTCATTCTCTCTCTCAAATAAATAAATAAAATCTTTAAAAAAAAAAAAACAAACTAAACAGATACTTACTAAATGACCCAGCACTCCTGGGCATTTGTCCCAGAAAAATGAAAACATGTCCACACAAAACATGTACACAAATGTTCATAGCTGCTTTATTTGTAATCACCCCAAACAGGGAACAACCTACATGTCCTTCAGTGAGCAAATGGTTAAATTGTGATCCATCCAGATCACGGAATACTACTTAGCAATAAAAAGGAACAAACTAGGGGATCCTGGCTGGGTCAGTTAGTGGAGTGTGAGACTCTTGATTCGAGGTCGTGAGTTCAAACCCCACATCTGGTGTAGAGATCACTTAAAAAAAAAGGAACTAAAATTAAAAAAAAAAAAAACTATTGATACATGCAACAACGTGGATGGATCTCAAGGGAATTATGCTGAGTGAAAAAAGCCAATCACATAAGTTATATATGTATATATATCAATATTAGGAGAGATGGAGAATAGATTAGTGGTTGCCAAGGATTAGGGATGGCAGAACAGGGTGTGTGTGTGTAGGAGGGTTAAGATCTTTGTGGCAATACAATGGTTCTGTATCTTGATTATGGTGTGGTTGCATGAATTTATATAAGTAATGAAATTGACAACTACAAACACACAAATGGGTGGATGTAAAACTGGTGAAATCTGTGGATTATATCAATGTCAGTTTTCTGGTTTTATGTAAGAGGTTATCATTGGGTTACCTAAGACCTTTTTGTAATATTTTTACAACTTCCTATAAATCTATATTTGTTTCAAAATAAAAAGAAAAAAAAGCCTGTGGAAATTGGTTAAAGGCCGACATTATGAATCAGATTAAAATCTTATCGTTTTTGTACTACACATAGAAAATCCTAAAGACTCCACCAAGAACTAAAAGTAATAAATAAGTGGCAGGATACAAAATATCCAGAAATTGGTAGTGTTTCTATACACTAATAATAAAGTAGCAGAAAGAGAAATTAAAAAAACAATCCTATTTACAATCACACCAAGAAGAATAAAATACCTAGAAATAAACTTAACCAAAGAGGTGAAAGACCTGTACTCTGAAAACTATAAAATACTAATGAAAGAAATTGAAGATGACACAAATGGAAAGATATTCCATGCTCATGGATTGGAAGAATTAATATTGTTAAAATTTCCACATTACCCAAAGCAAGCTACAGATTCAGTGCAATCCCTATCCAAATACCAATAGCATTTTTAAAAAAACTAGAACAAAAAATACTAAAATTTGTATGGAACTACAGAAGACCCTGAATAACCAAAGC